CCTTGTTCCATCCTATGCTGGTTTCCAAGCTGTTGGTCTGGGATTCATAAGTCCCCCCTTGTTCAGATCAGCTGTTCCTGTAGGTTTACCAGGCATGGTCTTAATCCTTTGCTCATCACTCCTCCCTCTCTACAACTGGATTCCAGGGATTTGGCTCAGTGCTTAGTGGTGGGTGCCTGCTTCTGCTTCCATCGGCTACTGAATGAAGGCTCTAGGGTGGCATTTAAGGTAGACATCAATCTCATTATACTGGAAGGGCATTTAAGATAGCCTCTCCACTATTGCTTAGATTCTTAGTTGGGGTAATCCTAGTATATCTCTGGACATTTCCCTAGTTCCCGATTTCTCTTTAAACCTATAATTGCTCCCTCTATTAAGGTATCTCTTTTCTTGTTCTCCTCTATTCTTCCCCCAACTTGATATTCCTGGTCCCTCATATCTTCCTCCCCCTTTCCCTTCTCCCCTTCTCTTTCTCCTAAATCCCTATCCACTCCCACCCACATGCTCCAAATTTGCTCAGGAGACCTTTCCCCCTTCCCCTTCTGTGGAGGACCATGTATGTCTCTCTTAGGGTCCTCTTTGTTTGCTAGCTTCTCTGGAGGTATGGAATTTAGGCTGGTAATCCCTTGCTCTATGTCTAATATCCACATATGAGTGAGTACATACCATGTTTGTCTCTTTGTGACTGGGTTACCTCACGCAAGATAATTTCTTCTAGTTTCATCCATTTGCCTACGAATTTCAAGATTCAATTGTTTTTTCCAGTGAGTAACGCTCCATTTTCTTTATCCATTCGTCAGTTGAGGGACATCTAGGTTGTTTACAGGTTCTGGCTATTACAAATAATGCTGCTATGAACATAATTGAGCAGATGTTCTTGTTGTATGAATATGCATCTTTTGGGTATATGCCTAAAAGTGGAATTGGTGACGTTAAGGTAGTCTGATATGGAGGCCCTTTCTTTGGTTTTTCGAGACAGGGTTTCTCTGTGTTGCTTTATAGAGCAGGATGGCCTTGAATTCACAGAGATCCACTTACCTCTGCCTCCTGAGTGCTAAGATTAAAGGTGTGTGCCACTACCACCCAACCAGAGGCCCTTTCTTGACTGAGGTTGCTCCTTTCAAATGACTTTAGCTTGTGTCAAGTTGACATGAAACTATGTAACACAGACAATGTATTCATATGTATGTATTAATTACATATCTATCTACACTCTGTCACTTCATAATCTATCTATCCATAATCTATTATATATCTATTATCTATATAGATATATGTATATGTGTGTATACATAACTATTTATCACATATCTATCCATCATCTATTTATATAGCATCTATATATCTATCCATTATTTATCCATCATCTCTGTATCCATCTACCCATATATGTGTATATATGCATATATATACATACATATTATATTCTATCTTTCATATGTCATTCTGGCAATCAAAAAATTTGCATGAACCAAAAACAGTGGCACATGCCTTTACTCTCAGCACTCAGGATGCATAGACAAGCATATCTTTGAGTTTAAGGCCAGCCTGATATACAGAAAGAGTTCCAGGACAGCCAGGGTTACACAAGGAAACCCTGTTCTGAAAAAATTAAATTAAAATTAACATGGATAATGATCAAGGAAGAAACAGCATAAAGTCCATCCTCTATGCACATACATGCATACATAAAAAGATACATTTACTAAACACACATACACACAAAAAGGTTTTTTTTTTCACTTTCTGAAATACACCACACAACTCCAGGAAGCCAATTTAAATTCCTGTGACACAAGTAAATGTGGGTGGGAAAAACAGAGTCTGCAAAGTTGTCCCCTGACATCCATGCATGCTCTGGCCATGGCATGTAACACCCAACTCTAGGCATGCATAATAATAAATAACTTTACTAAATGCAAGAGGAGTTCATCAGCTAAAAAATTCTTTATTATAGATATTTCTAAATGCCAGACTTTAAAAGTTTACTCAGATAGCATGTAACTTCTTGACCTATTGTTGTTCTTTTCTAACAAACCAGAGATGTATATAAATTTTTCAATGCCTGTTTTTCTTCCCTTTTGAAAATAAATTTAATTGGTTGTATCAGTGATATGGGATTCCAATAGACATGTTCATGTATGGCATATTAGTTTATTTTGTCCAAATACCTAACAGAAACAATTTGAGAAAGGAAGGGCTGATTGGTTCATGATTTAAGAAGATGTACAGCTCATCATGGTGGAGACTGAACCTGAGATATGTAAACTTACTGTGTACCACAGCATTAAGAAAAATCACTCACTGTGCCACCTGCAAAACCATGACCCCTCCATAGCTCTACAGTTAGGAGTGGGCTCATGAATGTCATCTATAACAATGCACATATCTATTAATTATCTCTTTGTCCATTCATCTATTTATTTATCTATGCAGCCATCCACCCATGTATCTATTAATATATGTATCTATATAATCTATCATCCATCTATCATCTATTGAATTATCAATCTATCCATTTTCTATCACAAATTGACCTATCATCTATCACCTATCTATCTGCCATCTACCAATCTTTGTTTCATTTATTGATCTGTCTTTCATTTATTATCTATTTAATCTATATATCATCTGTCTATCTATCTATCATGTATTATGTTCTGTGTTGTGACACAGCCTCACTTAGGTACCCAGAAACTCATTCTACAAAACTATCTGGACTTGAATCCCTAGATACCACATTCTCAGCCGTACAAATAGATGTGATTACAACAATATCTCTGTTTATCATGTCAATCTATATATCATCTACCATTTATCTATAATATGTATGTACATACATACATACATACATACATACATACATATATAACTTATGGCCCCAGTTAATCACACACGAATACAACTAAAATCAAGTCTTGCTCTTATATCTGAGCATAAGCATCCCCACATCACTCTGAATATTTCCTCTGTATTAGTTCATGATTTATCTAATTCCAATGGTTGCTTTACACCATATTTTTAATTTTCTCCTAGAGATGTGTATAGAAATATTAAGTCATTTTGACAACAGGGCTCACTGCCGTCTTTTATTTAACATGTGCATAGAATTCTCTGAAATTGTCTGGATAATAGATTTTTCTTTGTTTTGGTTTAGTTTAGTTTGGGTTTGTTTGTTTGTTTGTTTGTTTGGGTTTGGGTTTGGGTTTGGGTTTGGGCTTGGTTTGGTTTGGTTTAGTTTAGTTTTTCAAGAGAGGGTTTCTCTATGTAGCCCTGGCTATACTGGAATTTAATCTAGAGCATTCTGCAATGGTTCTGTATTGAGTAAATGATTTAATTCTCAAATGTAAAACTCATCCATCTGGGAGAGGAGGTAAGAAGGATTGTGTCTCTCCTTCCTTGGGATCTTTGGTGCACTGGTCCAAGAGAATGGAATGAGCTGAAGCAGGGAACAGATGCAGATGGCTGTGGATATGATGGAGGTAGCCCTTGGAGAAATGACGTTGGTCAATCACCTCAACTTTATTCCAGACTTTAGGCAATATATAAGATTGGGAAACCTGGGGACAATCCCTAATTTGCATTAAGTGGCACACTCCTGTCAGCTCCAATCATAAGGCCTCATATATGTTAGCTGGATCCTATAGCAAAATTCCTAGTACAAGTTTTAGTTACCATATTTGAAGCAGGGGGAGTCTTCTAGCAGGAAACTGTGCCAAAGATGAGTCAGGCATCTGAGCCTAGTGACATCCTCCAAATAGGGGCAGATAGAGAGCAGGAAGTCCTCCCTGTGTATAGAAGGAGGGAGTCCTCTGTGTTGCTGACCTAAGAGAAGGCTGCCAGGCTGTGGTAGATTGCAACCTCTGACCAGCAGGGCCTACAAATAGAGGATCTCAGAGGAGTTGCAGAGGATAACCATAATCAGAATATATTATATGGAAAAACACATGTTGAATAAAAAAATAGCTCTAAAACTCATCCACCTTCCATAAGAGCCAATTAGTTTATAAAATGGCAATATTAACTGGTTCTGTTTTCCAAGATTTTCCCAACAATGATACTTTCTCCTCAAAGCTCAACTAGAATTCGATATAGTGATTTTAAGTGTGTATTTGCATGTACAGTTGGCACATATGGTATAACATGAAATACATACCTTGAAAAACACTCATAAGGACAAGTTACTGGGGAAAAGGATTTCTATGTTTGTTTCCACAGAAAATGAAAAGATGTGGATTCCTTCCAGACTAATGTGGTTTGATCACGCCAGACCGCCTGAAACAGAGTACAAGCTGATCCTACATTCAAAACAGCTGGACAAAACAGCCCTACAGACTACAGCTAGGATATCTGAATCTTCTTCGAATCCCCCAAGGCAGTGCCCCTTACCAGCAGGAAGTAGTTTGGAAAGAACAAGGCCCAAATTCCCAAATATTGTGTATAAATGTTTGTTTTCATTTAATTGGACTTTGTTATATAAAATTAAATAAAAAAGAAAAAATAATAATAAAAAAGAAAAGAAAAGAAAAACACTCATAGGCTTACTCTAATGAAAATTCTGGTTCTATGTAAATAATTTACAATAGATTTACAGGCTCATTTTATGGGGAGATATTGGCTACTGTGTGATTCCAGAACCTTCAGAGACAAAATCCTATATTAACATAGCTTCCAAATACCATTTTTTTTTTGCAAAACATTACATAATTTTTTATTATTAAATGAGAAAATCTCATTTGTTACATCGTCACATTGCTAGTCAGAGAAATGCTGCAGTGATGAAGTCAATGTTGGATCAACCAAAGTCCTCATTTCTACAACATTCATTTACAAAGAAACAATGTTCAACACAGCCCAACACAACATTCTTGGTTTTCTTCATATTGAAGTCCCCCAAAAAAATCATCTTCTAATGGGGTGGTTCACTACATAAATTATAGTTCTTCATTTTTACATTTCACCCCAAACTGCATGAGAGATGTGTCACACTAAAATTTCTAACGTGGTTAGGAAACCCTTCACACATTGTCGTCATCTGATGTGTCACTGCTACTTGTCTCTGTGTCCTCATTCTCAATGGTGGGTTTGAAAGTGCTGTTTTTCCAGGGTCCAAACTTCAAGTCACAGATCAGGCCATTTTTCAAAATACCATTTTTCCTCAGCCCATTCTTCTGTAACTGTTCACTAATAACTTGGAATTCTCTCATCTCATCCTCAGTTAAGGGAGCACATGTTTCATCGTTTCACTGTCTTCCTGCCAGCCCATCTCCTTTAATAGTCTGTGCTCTGCCTCAAGTGAACTGGAAAGGACATCAGTCTGTGGAAAGGCTGACGAATGAATGATCTGTTGAGAAATCACCGAAGCATTGCCATTCTCTTGTGGAATTTCATTTTCATCAAATTTTCTGTTTATATCTCTTTCTTGGTGAGCACTATTGCTGTTATGCAAATTAAATGAGTCGTCGTCCTTCTCTGAGCCACCGTGGCATTCATCTTCGTGTTCTTCTTCTACTCTGTCCCTTTTCAATGCTTTCAAAAATTCACTCTTCTTGTCACTGCGCATGCGTGTCAGTTTAGTTAAACGAGGCTGCTGATTAAGTTTGTCAACAGGCGAGGAAGAATTTGAACGATTACACTCTTTCACTGAATTTGTTGATGGACTAATACTCTTGGCTGTTGACTTAAAGGTATTAAAGTTGCCAACACCGTATGCAGAATCATGAGGAAAAGAAGTTCCAACTTTGTTTTCTGTTTGGCTTTTCCATTGTGTAGTTTTGGGGATTAAGCCTTTATAAACACTCAGACCAGTTCCATTTCTAACTGGCTGTGACTGAAGGTTTCCTGCTACTGGGAATCCAGATAGCTGTCCAAATACCATTTTTTCAGCTAAGTATTTATAATAAAATTTGAGCATGTTCACAGGCATATTCAATCCTGCCTGCTGTCTTTATAAGATAAACCAACTGTGCCCAGTTGTGTTTCTATCCTTCTGAATAAATGATACATAATTTTACAGGAATCATGACTAAACATCCATCATCTATTTTGTTTCTAAAACCAAGGACATTAAACTGACCATTATCATGAATATCAATCTTCACTGAGCATTTTCAGAAATGTGTCTGTCCTAAAACTACTTTCTTGCATAAAAATGGAAAGACCCTCTGATTAAATGTCACTCTTTCATTGCTGGAGGAAGAGCCATTGCTTTGGAAACTATCCCTATGGGAAACCTATTACACAATATAAATCTTTTTGTTCTGTTTTCACTTTGCAAAAATCAAGATGTAAATGTACAGACCAAAATTCAATTCTTACCAAATTTGTATTGCACATCTAACAGATTCAAATACTTTGGGGGTGAATGTATTCTATTATTATTGTCTTACACCATCAGAGGCTGCCCAATTTTCTTCATTGTTTGCTTCACAGCTGAATAGGTCTATTCATGCTACATCCTGGTTAAGTGTGAAATTAGGATTTGACATGCTGGGGATATTTTGATGTTTGGATAAAAACAAACTTCCTCATTCTGGCTGCTCAAAGAATGTCTGCATCTGAGTAGAACAAGTACATTTTTAAAAATCAGGCTTGAATTTGCTTTCTTTTCCTATCTAGACAATGTTCTTTGCTTTCTGGAAACTTCTAAACAAAAACATGATCCCAATCAATAAATTTTTATCAAAATACTACCTATGATTTGCCCATTGCACAGAAATCAATGGATTTTATCAAATTAAGCTGTGATACACAGTCATTTTTTATATTATACTGATTGGAGCTTGTTAGCATGTGACTGAGAATTTTGAGCACTAGCTTGAAATTTTATAATATAATTTATCATCATTTTCTTTACTTTTCTCCTTTTTTATTTAAATTTGAAACAAGGTTGTTTTACATGTCAATCCCAGTTCCCTCACCCTCCCATCCTGCCCTATCATCCCCACCAAACCCCAGCCTATCCCCTTTCTGATCCCCAGGGAGGGCGATGCCTTCTCCATGAGGAGTCTTCAAAGTCTGTCATATCATTTGGGGCAGGGCCTAGGCACTCCCCCATGTGTAAAGGCTAAGAAAGTATCCCTCTATGTGGAATGGGCTCCAAAGTCCATTCATATACTAGGGTTAATACTGATCCATTACTAGAGACCCCATAGACTGCCCAGTACTCCTAACTAACACCCACATTCAAGGGGTCTGGGTCAGTCATATGCTGGTTTCCCAAGTTCATGCTGGGGTGCATGAGCTTGCCCTTGTACAGGTCAGCTGATTCTGTGGGTATCTGCAGCTTGATTTTGGGTCCTTTGCTCATCACTCCTGACACTCTGTGGCTGAATTCCAGGAGTTCAGCTAGTATTGAGCTGTGGGTGTCTGTTTCTGCTTCCATCAGCTACTAGATGAAGGCTCTAGGATGGCATATGAGGTAGGCATCAATCTCATTATGGTGGAAGGGCATTAAAGGTAGCCTCTCCACTACTGCTTAGATTGTTAGTTGGGATCATCCTTCTAGATCTCTGGGCATTTCCCTAGTGCCAGATTTCTCCTTAAATAGATAATGGCTCCCCCTATTATGATAACTTTTTTTCTTGTTCTATTCTTTCCCTGACTCAATCTTCCTATTCCCTCATGCCCACCTCTCCCCTCCCCTTCTCCCCCTTCTCTTTCTCCTAACACCCCCCCCCGTCCATGCTCCCAATTTGCTCAGGAGATCTTGTTCCTTTCCCCTTCTGGAGGGGGCATGTATGTCTCTCTTAGGGTCCTCCTTGTTTCCTAGCTTTTCTTGCAATGTGAATTTTAAGCTGGTGATCCTTTGCTCTATGTCTAAAAATCCATATATGAGTGAGTACATACTGTGTTTGTCTTTTTGTGACTAGGTTACTTCACTCAGGATGGTTTCTTCTAGGTCCATCCATTTGCCTGCGAATTTCAGGATTATGTTGTGTTTTTCCCCTGAGTAGTACTCCATTGTGTAAATGTACCACTTTTTCTCCATACAGCCTTCAGTTGTGGGGCATCTAGTTTGCTTCCAGATTCTGGCTATTACAAATAATGATGCTATAAACATAGTTGAAAGATGTCCTTCTTTTATGAATGTGCGTCTTTTGGGTATATACCTAAGAATGGAATTACTGGATCTTGAAGTAGACTAATTTCCGTTTTCCTGAGGAACCACCATACTGATTTCCAAAGTGGCTGTATGAGTTTGCACTCCCATGAGCAGTGCAAGAGTGAACCCCTTTCTCCATATCCTCTCCAGCAAAACCTGTCTTTGGTGTTTTTGATTCTAGCCATTCTGACAGGAGATACCATTCTGGTATCTCAGAGCTCTTTTGATTTGCATTTCCCTGATGTTGAGCACTTTCTTAAGTGTCTTTCAGCCATTTTAGATTCCTCCATTGAGAATTCTCTATTTAGTTCTGTACCCCACTTTTTAATTGGATTATTTGGTGTTTTGGAAACTAGCTTCTTGAGTTTTTCATATATTTTGGAAATCAGCTCTCTGTAAGATGTGGGGTTGGCGAAGAAAATTTCCTGTTCTGTGAGCTGACATTTTTGTCTTGTTGACTGTGTCCTTTGCCTTACAGAAGCTTCTCAGTTTCAAGAGGTCCCTATCATCATTTACTAAGGATGTTTCTGTTAAGTTTTTGTGTCAGGACCATACTTCTCTAATAGGAAAATTTGAGTTTTCTTTTTTCCTCTAGCTTTTGAAAAATTTTGTGAAGGAAGTATGATGAGATCCCTTAGTAGGTAATAAGGCTTGCCACCAGCCCTGATGACCTGAGTTACATCATTGGAACCCACATGGAAGGACAGAACCAGCACCCCAGCCTTTTTATGCTGCCTAAATACTGCCATGAAATTAGTCATCACCTCTCTTATAGTTTAGATTTCAGCAATGTCAAAACTAATGTAACTGATTTCTCATTTTATTTACTCATTTGCTAGTTTGTCAATATGGCTCATTTTCCCTCATGTTGATATTTACCAAAAAAAGACAATTTTCACTTTGTTGGTTTTCTCCATACTTCTTTATTTTCCCCTAATTTTGCTGCACTATGGCCTAATTTGGTGTTAATGATAGACCATGTTGCAATGAGTGTTTGGATTTCTAACCATGCAAAATTTTATTGACTACCATCTCTTCTATATAAAATGTGCAAAGTTATACAAATATTGGTAGGTTCCATTTTCTTGGAAGCATTGAATCAAATATTCTTTTCTCTTTTGACAGTGGATTATGTCTGACCATTCTGTTTAATTTACACATATTTGCAAATTTCTCAATTTCCCTTTTATTCATGACTTCTAATTTAGTCCCTACACTGGTGTTTGTCAACTTGACACAAATCTATGTATACCTGTAAAGGGAGAATCTTAATTGAAAAATTTTCCCCATCAAATGTACCTGTAGAAAAGCTTGCAGGACATTTCTTGATTGATGGCTGATATGAAAGGGCCCAGATCACTGTGGGTGGTGCCATCCCTGGGCTGGTTGTTCTGAGATCTATACGAATGCAGCCTGGGTAAGCCAACAAAATATACTCACCCATAGCCTCTGCATCAGTTCCTGCCTACAGGATCCTGTCTTGAGTTTCTTCCTTGACTTACCTCAGTGATAAACTATGACATAGAAATGGAAGACAAATGAACCCTGAGTTATAACTGTGTCCTACATCTGGGCCAAGCCCTTTGCTTCTTGGTTCACAAACACAATAAGAATTAATTGTTGCAATCTTTTCCCAGAACAAATAAATGTGACAAAATGCTCTGACTAAAATCCAACATAGCAGAGGAAAGGGTTTAAACATCTTACACAGGTCATCGTCCATCACTGAGGGAAGTTAGAACAGAAACTTGAAGCACAACCTAGGAATGCTATGTATGGGCTTATTCTTTTTTTTTATGCATATAGAGTATTTTTTATTTAATTTTATATAACAAAGTCCAATTAAATGAAAACAAACATTTATACACAATATTTGGGAATTTGGGCGTCGTTCTTTCCAAACTACTTCCTGCTGGTAAGGGGCGCTGTCTTGGGGGATTCGAAGAAGATTCAGATATCCTAGCTGTAGTCTGTAGGGCTGTTTTGTCCAGCTATTTGGAATGTAGGATCAGCTTGTACTCTGTTTCAGGTGGTCTGGTGTGATCAAACCACATTAGTCTGGAAGGAATCCACATCTTTTCATTTTCTGTGGAAACAAAAATAGAAATACTTTTCCCCAGTAACTTGTTCTTCAACTTAAATTTTGGAGTCAAAGCGTTTTTTTTTTTTTTTTTTTTTTTTTTTTTTATTTTACATGTCGATCCCAGTTCCCTCTCCCTCCCTCCCTCCCTCCCCCCCAAGCCCTCCCTCCCTCCTTCCCTCCCTTTTGCCCTCTCTACCCTCTCCCATGCACTCTAAACACCCTCCCCTCCCAACCCCCCACCACAATACAATATGTAGGGGAATGCCATCCAGTTGGGGTCATGTAGATCTGACAGGTCCTGTGAAGTAGGGACTAGGGCTTCTCTCCTATCTCTAGAATAAGGCAGTTATCCCTCCATGGGGGATATGTTTGCAAAGTCCTTTTGTGCACCAGGGATACATCCTGGCTCCACTGTCTGAGGTCTCTTAGACTGCTCAGACCTTCTGGCTGAGACGTATGGGCTTATTCTTTAACTCATGAAGAGCCAGCTTTCTAATATAGTCCACAAAGCCTGCCTAGAGAATAGTGGGGCCCACAGTGGGTTGAGCCCTCACATATCAATCATAGATCAAGAGACTCCCCCAAAGACACTCCCACAGATCAACCTGAGCTGGACAATCTTTCAGTTGAGACTTCCTTCCCAGATAAGTTCAGGCCATGCCAAACTGACAATTAAAGTTAACCAGGAAAA